GAGGGGGGAGGGGGAGGCGACGCGATCCTCGGTTGTCTTAAACCACAGAAGTGAGGGCGGGGGCGAGCGGAGGATATTGGTTGGGGGGGTCCCCACCTTCACGCGGGGGGGGGGGGGGGGGCGGGGGTGGGTGATTGTTGGTGGGGGGGGGGGGGGGGGGTGGTTAATGCGAACGCGTAAGCGTGAACAAACTAGGGAGGTCCGGGGGCATGCTCCCCCGGGAAAATTTCACATTTAAGTCTTCTCAAATGGCTATTAATGCATCTAAAACTGCTAGTGGTATTAGGAATTTGTAATTATTACATCGGCACTTAAAATTAAACAACAAGTGACAACCTGGCCCCCACGTTAAACTAAAATTTAAATGAACAGCGGGCTTTGTAGCTAAACCTAACATACACAACGGTTGAGTGTCACCCGGACATTTTTAAGTGGGATTCTCTTAAGGTGTACCCTGGGTACCAGAGGTTTTTCTCGCGTGCGGAGGGAACTTTCGGTGTTGGCCGAAGGCCGACACATCTTCGGCCGTAGGCAGAAGCCACGAGCGGCGAAGCCGGGAGAAAAAGCTTTTCGCGCGGGTCACCAACCTGGCCACTATAAAGACTTGACAGAAACCGGAAACCGCGCTAGAAAAGTCTGTGGCACCCAGGGTACTGAAGGTGCCAAAGTTGCCTTTCCGCTTGTCATGAAGAGCTCATCATGCTCATAGCTGCTCTGTTCTCTGTTTGTGGGTTTTCAGTATTGTCAGATTACAAAACCTTGTTTGTGAGGTAAGTGACAGATCTTGGTAACCAAAGTAAAAAAAATTATATTTTACCATCCAAAAAAGTGGACGGGCTAATTGCCTAATTGCATTGTAACGGATAGAATACCGACACAATAAGCACTGTTAAGATTGTAAAGAGGTTTTTTTGTGCCATAGAACTGAACCAAACAAAAAACAGTTTTGGGAAATTTGGTGTACGATTGCCTCACCCTCCCTTCCCTACGTTTCAACGGAATCCAAACACACTATCGAACACAAGAATAATTAATGAAGCTTCGTTTTCATATATTTCAGTGCACCTATGAACCAGAAGAATGCAAGGACAAATCTGACCTTTCACAGCATATTCAAAGCCAGAGAGACAATCCTATCGGATTAATGATGAAGTGTTATTACAATCCAAAGGATCCCAGTCAGATAGTTCGCTCCAAAGTCTCCGATGATACCTACGATAATTTAGTCTTTGGACACGTTCTCTGGCCACTAGCCATTATATTGATGGGAGTTGTTGTTTTGGCAATAGCAGGCTGTTACTTTTCTTTGCGATTTCGAAACAAATACGAGCGACTGGAAGGAATTTCAATTTCAACCCTACAACGAACACTTTAACCCCCGGACGTACAATAAAATAAGCCCCAGATAACGAACATTACACACCCAGGCGAAAGGTAGAAAAAAAATAAAAATAAAACAAAATAAATATCTTAATCTGTTAAAATGTAAATTACGCTGAACAAGTAAAAATAAATCAGGATATACATATTAATTCCCTATTCACGTCAACTAAACATGTTCAATTAAACCAGTGTTTTTAAAAATAAAAAACAGACACGGAAAACTGGAGCACAGGTTCTTGCACAGGATTCAAGTGAGATTCAACATGTTTTAAGTCCGAGTCATTAAGTACCCTGCCAGCAGAGGCCCTGCTTCGATCTTCTTAGATAAGTCGGGAAGGAAGCTAAGGGCCTCTGCTCGCAGGAAAAGTCAGTAAGCAGCTTTAATTTAACAAAGAAAACAATTCCTTGTAACTAAACAGCTTTTAAACATGTTTAATTTTATTATCTGAACGAGGCCCTAGTTTAATCAAATTTGATTGGGAGATGTGATTCGAACGAATCATGATTCGAACCTTAAATTTAATCGCGCTGAGTTAAGATTTTGTAAGTAACTCATGATTTTTCTTTGCAAGAGCGAGGAAACGATATTTTTAGGAACGTTATGAAATTGTTAATAAAAGAATTATCAAACCAAGAAACACCAATTTGCCATGCATTTCCGAGTTGCCTTACATGCCCGGCTTACATGTAGGTCTCTGCGAGGCTAAGTGCGAAGCTATCAGTTGTTATCAAAATGAATTTGTATTCTCGTGCGAATAAAATCATTTTTCAAGAATAATCCGGAAACTGGGACAACTGATTCTTACGGCGTTCAACTATATTTAGTTGCGCTGGACAAGTGGTCTGAACTCGTGACACTCACTCACTTGTCCCTTGGACTTACACATGATCTTGTTTCTCTAATATAAATGTTTTCAGCTGTTTTTCTCGTGCAATCCATGGATTATCTTCTTAAGATTGGTCGTTGAAGATTCAAAACGTCTGGAGTTTGTGCTATGATATTTATCAAATGAAGTTAAGCCATACATAACATTTACCACGAGATCTATAAGGTAAAATATGGTTCAGTTTTTTGAAGCACATTTACTGTATTTGTTTTGACCCCTAAACGGAAACTGAGGTAGTATAGAGGCCTGTCAGGCCTGCCTGTTATTTTCACCAAAGGAAAGTGTAACGCCAGACACCTAGGTGGATTGATTGCTTACAAATTAAAACCAACCTTTTTTAGAAGAGTGGGATGGAAGTATCAGATCATTAAAGTAATCAAGGCCATTATCATTGAATAAAAATATACCTAATCTTGGAAATCCAAGAGCACTCACGACGCTTCACTTCTGGTTGCCATTATGGATCCTCGCTACGCAAACTTTGCAATTTGTTGCGGTAGTTTGCTTTTTCTTACCGGATGTATCTCCTTGGTTGTTTTGTTGGTAACTAGAGTGCTACCGCTACATAGAAGATCACACAACTTCGAAGAGAAGAACTGTACAGTAAAAGAAAACAACTTGTCATGCAAAAGTGGTACATGCGAATGCAGTCGTGGAACGAACGAAAAAATTGTTCTGTGCTTGAAAGTGTACGTGTGTCTTGAATGTGACAAAGAAAAAGTGGCAAACAAAAGCTGTTGTGGAGGTAAAGAAAAAGGTTATTTACTTCGAAGGGATGTGCAACACCTGAGTGATGAGGTAATTATTACATCATTTTAATACAATCCTTTTTTCGGGTATTTCTGTAGACTACGAGTCCCCCATTTTTCCGGGCATTTTTCCTCAAGGATAGTAGAGCGAGCGAAACGCGAGCGCGCGTGAAAATCACCCCACGCGAGAAAAGGCGACACGCATTTTTCTCTCTCCCCGCCGCGTGTCGCCTTTTCTCGCGTGGTGTGTTTTTCACGCGCGCTCGCGTTTCGCTCGCTCTACTATCCCTGAGGAAAAATGGGGGACTACTGGTAGTCTAGTATTTCTGAGGGTCATTTCTTATTGTTGCGGAAACCAACAATGTTGGTTCGCTTTTGTGTTGTGATGTGGGTATCATTCATTGTCTTTTCAATCTTTTGTATTACGTCATTTATTGATCACTAAGAAACTACCCTTTTTTCTGCGGGCGACCAGAGAATGTCCTGTGACCAGGCTCCACCGCGGAAAAAATATGGTAAAAAATGGAGTAAAACGGCAAACAACAAGAAAAAATATTCGGCGAGCGACACGAGCCTAGCTGTACACTGAGGAGGACTACAACTCGGCTCGCTTCGCTCGCCTATTTTTTTCGCCTTTTTCTCCAATTGCGGAACCTGGTCCCAGGCTAATCTCCAGGTTGCTATTACACATGCGCAGTACGTTTTCAAAAGAGGTTCTTTTTTTACCCTGCGCTCACCTAGCACTCAGACAACCCCTATTTCGTTCGCTTCACATTTGAAGCAAAGGAAATAATCAGCTTAAAACTGCAGCTGGGTATTTTTTCCTTCTATTTGTTTTGTTCTGTTTTGTTTTATTATTATTATTATTATTCTCTTTTTGTTCTCGCTGCCTGTTTTGACTTGAGTTATTTGAGTTTGCCAAGGGTCAACTTTTTGTCTAATAAATTGTGTGGGTTTCGACAAGAGAGAATTCTCTCGGCTTTGACATTGCTAGGTCTTTGCGGCCAGCAAGCGCTAATTGGTATGGGATATGGTCCCTTTTATAAAACCGAACAGACGCCCTGAGGGAACTGTCTTCTGGCTACGAAGTCCTTTAATTTTAACTCCTTAATTTTAGTGCACTTTCAAGAAGGAAATAAGCATTTGCGAAGTGGGATCACCACAAAACCTGACGGAGAGGTACAGCCTTGGAGCTGGAGTCACAACCATTTGCTACCGCAACCCTCAAGTCCTGGATGAAGTGATTTTAGAGCGGAATCACAGCAGAGGACAATGTAGAAGAGACGCGTTGCTATGTGTCTTATGGCCAGTTGCTGTGATCGGTCTTTTCATTTTGATTCTCATTACAGCTTTGTACTTGTGTCCAAGACGAAGGGTTTACAGAAGAATCCCCTGATATGCTTATCACACACAAGCAAAAACTGTAGCGACGTTTATGTAAAATGGCTGGATACAGGATTCCGCATGGCCCTTTTGAGGCTTTCTTTAGTTCTCCCTAGTCCTTATTGGTTTCCTCAAGCGCGCTCGTGCCAACTAAATGAGAGAGCCTGGAACCGATTAGATTTAACACAGTGTTTGCGAGGAGGCGAGGAGCGAGCAACCTCGTCCCCAAGGGTTTTCCCTTAAAAAAAGGGGGGAAAAGCCCTGGAGGAGCGAGGAGAGACGGCTGTCTCCTCCCCTCGTCTCGCGCTTGTCGCTCTTCTCGCGAAATGCCGCGTTCGCCTCGCTTGGCTCATAAAGCACCTGTCATGCAGGCTAGTATTCGCAGGCTAAGTGTTTATCAACAGCCACACGAGCTAAAGGTATTCCAAATATAAATCAGTAGTACATCATCTTAGCTTTGAGATATTCTTTAATTTTGTAGAATTTTTATTTAATTAATTTGTTATTGTATCAGTGTTATTATTTCGATTATTAAATTACTATTAATGTTACTATAACTGATAACTAAAACTTGATCGATGAAGTTTAGCCCTTAAAACCATATTAATATCACTATCCACTCCTTTGCTAGTGTTGCATTTATGGACTGTTTTTAAAGACGACTGATGGTCCGTTAAGTTCCGACTACCAATGTCAACTGCATTCAAGCGTTCCTTTCCGACGTCCGAATGTTCTATTCCTTTAAAACCTTTCAAATCACTTGCACTCTTTAAGTAATTGTCACTTTCCGTTTCACAGGTAACTGAACTTTCATTTATCTGCGGCCCACAGGTTGATGTTGATTTAGCAGTGTATCGAGCTCTCTCTTCCCATTGTCTTTCCATTTTCTTTTCCTCTTCATAGACAAGAGAAAGAAAACTTGCATACCGTATCCGAGGCAAGTAGTTCGTATTACTTTCGCGCAAAGTTTTGCTAAGTTCGCTTAATGATTCTTTGTTTTCTCTGTTCGCCTTCTTGGGTGTGACAATAACGGGCAACGAGTGCGTTCCTTTATCAAGCTCGCGTTTCTTTGATACTGAAATGTTTCTCCGGTTTATATACGTTACTTCGTCCTGATTTTTCAAATAATAATCTCCATCCAACATTTTCTCGGCGCTAAGCGGATGTTTCTTGGCAGCGTTCTGAAGAATTTGTTTTGTTGGTTTTCCCAGTTTGGTTTGGCAATCTAAATTGTTCTTTGCATTCCGGCCCAAGAGAACGCTGGACTTCATATCTGTTTTAAATTCGTTGTGACTATCCTTTATAATTTTGCTGGACACTTTTTTCTGTCTTAAGTACATCTTAGGATGGAGGTTTCGAAATGGGTTATCATTCCAATCTAGATCCACTTGCAGTGAAGCATTTTTTCTGCATGTAGCGCTGTGTCTGTCAACCAGCTCGTTGGAAGAGGAAAATCCCATCCTTAAATTTCCTGAAAAGACAATCAACAGAAAAATAGAACTTCAGTCTTAATTGTTTAAAAAAAAAGACGAAAGTACAAAGAAATTATAATCTAATGAGTGTTTCCCTGGTTTAGGTAGCCGCCCTGAGTATCTGGCAGCATTAGCGGCGAAGTGCTATAGATAACCATCGCGCCAGATCTGGGTAGTGCTTCCGATTGGCTGAAGCACATTTCCCACTCGGTGCAACCAATCAAAGGCACTACCCAGATCTGGCTAGTGACGTCAGTATGGAATTTCCTCGCTCGTTTCTCAAAGTCACCAGTGGTGGCTGCCAAATATCGGCTGTTTTCTTAGGCTAAAGGTTTAACAAGTACGGGTTCACGATCGATGGAGCATGCATACCGGAAACCATGGCAACACAGTATTGCCCCCGAAAAACAGAATATTTAATAAATAGATCTCAACCCAGGTTTTCTATCCTTTGATGGCAATCACATAAATTGTCAATAGTTAGAGGTAAAAACAACAGTAGACCACAAAATGTGACTTGTAAATATAGAGCATGATTGACTGAGTCAGCTGATGCAGCTGTTAATTTATTTCAACTCGATAAGTTAGTTGTCTTTCTGAGAGAATTGGCGAGTAGAGTTTAACGATATTGAACTAAAATCAGGATAGATATATTTATTTAAATTCCACATAAGCAGATAAACATTTTCCATGACTACCAAGGTAAATGTCTGCGAGATATTGTACATCGAACTAACATGCAACTTAACTTTGCAGTCGTACTGTAGCCCTTTCTGCAAGACGTTTTGTGGAAATTGTAGTTACTCAGCAATCAATCTTGTCTGAACTTTGGTGGCTAAACTTATTATTCTCCATTCGAATTAAAAGCTTATGGGCCAACATTTTGCCGAGCCCTTTTTTATCCATCAGCCTGATTGCACAGTCGGCGGAACATTTTTCCAACTAGGAGAGCTGACTAGTGATTTAAAGTGGGAAGGCAGACTCTCCTCTTAGAAAGTCCCTTTTTTTTTCGGAAAAAGTGGGGATACTGAAGCCTCCCTCCGGATTCCCCGTCCCTGTTGAGGGGCAAATCAGTCCATGAAAAGTCATCGATTCATTCGCGTTTCTACAAAGACACCATGCTATAGCTAGAGTCTTTCTGTTGAGTTAAGCAACTACGTCAGCCGCTTCTGTTTGAGCTTTACTTAACAATAAAAACAAAAAGGGCAATTTTCTATTAAAGAAGTGGAGGTATGACTGAATTTGTGTAGGCCACAAAGAACTGGTAACTGAAATTGCCTCGATGAAAATGATGTTGGTGTACCTTTTTTGCTTTTTAGTACCAAACCGGTATCACTCTTAACTTGTTCAGTGTTTCAGGAAAGTATTTAGTGCCGTGCGGCGAGGTGCTGATTCTTCTGAAGCAATGACGACGGCGACGGCAA